TCACATATAGACCTATTTTTTTCTTTATTCTTTTGTTAAAGTGAGAAGCAATAGAGAATAATTAAGTTTACGAATATAATGTAATTTAATTGGTTGATTGTCACATGTTTCACAATTGGCCAATAATAATGTGTTATTCAATTTCATGTGACGGCCAATCACGAGAAAGTTATCCTATATCAATTAGACCTCCTTTCAGAAATTTCCTTTTTCGGTTTCATACTTGCACTTGGACTTAACCACAGAGCTCCGCATTCAATTATGGCCCCCTATTGGATTACAGAAGCTAAAAATTCTAAGATTTTGCCTCCAGCCCGACTTGAACCATTGACCTAGTCTGTGGGAGTTTGGCAGCTTAACCACTAAGCTATAGGGCCCAAACCCAAATTTTAAATGTAATATATATAAATTATCGTTATTATTATAGAAATTGAATTAAAGTATATAAGTTATTAGTGCATTAACTAATTAAATAAAAGCCTTTCTATAAGAGTCATAATCAATTTATTTATTTTTATTATAAAGAAATAAATATAATAATCATGTAAAAATAAATAATTTATAAAGATGTTTATTAAATTTTTTTAATAAATATATTTTTTTAATGAAATATTAGTATAGTGCTATAATGCCATAGTGCTACCCTATATGTAAATACAAAATTGGTATAATATATAAATCAAAACAATCTAATCTTTACAAAAAATAAACCTTTTAATTAGATTTAAATTAAAGCAGAGATTAAGGTTAGACAAGACATAGGTTATATTAAAATTTTGCAAGTAATTTTTTTATTAGAACACTAAAGATGGTTTTTTAAGTAAAATTTTGAGATATAACTAATTTTTTAAAAATTTACTAGTAAAGGATGGAAAAATACCGGGTGAGTGCTATCCATAAGGACGTACCACTCTGGTAGGTTTGGATCGCAGATAATGGATCGGTGGCCAGATAGAGATGAGGACACCTATCGCGCAAGTGATGGTTTCGGCCAGAGCATAGGTAACCAATAGGATTCGAGTCTAAGCTTGGTGTACTTGATATATGTAAATATGGAAATATAGTAATACATGTAATTAAAGTATTAACAATAAATAAAGTCATGGGCAAGATCCCACCTGAAAAAAAAAAAAAAATTTTCTCGATCATCATCACAAAAATCATATGGCCCAGACTTTTATTGATTGTAATCGATATGAATTAGAATATAATCTATTTAAAATTGTTTGTAATCAATTTATATGTACAGTATATTGATTATAATATCGGTTTTGATTTACTGCTCTTTTCAAATTACTGTGTTCTATGATTTTCATGCATCACACACCACATGGAAATCTGAAAATCAGGAATCTAAAAATTGAATATTGATTTTTTTATAAATACTAAAATAAATATAAATACCAAAAAAAAATAAACTTTCATTTTTTTCCCAAATTAGTCAAATTATGGCAAATAAAAAAAATACAAAACTTGAATATTACTGTGGCACCTGCTTTGGATGTCGAAAATGTTTGTACTGCGCAGTTAATTTGCGCAATGACACTTGCAGTTGTGAGCTGTTTCAAATGTCAACAAAAAAAAATAGGACAGACTTGGTTAAACAAGCCTATACATATTCTTATGAACCTACCTGGGCAGCACTCAAATTTGAATATGTTTATGGGCAAGTTATTGAATTCAATTACAGAATAGATCTGACAAAACCTTTTCAGTTTTCTCTTTGTGGACATTGTCATAATATTTTAACCAGATTGAACCCTTCTAAGGTTAAAAAAAAAGCAACAAACACAACAACTAAATTTAACAATATAACTTTATTTTTATATTCCGTATATTTCAATATAATATATATTTACATATATATATTTACTTATCTGTTTTACGTCTATTTTATAAGAAATAATTGCATTACCTTCATTACTAATGTCTATTGCAGTAAGCAAAGATAGAACAAATGAAGATGAAATAAGTAGTGATGATGAATCAGAGTTCGTATTAGATTATAAATTGTATATAAAAACATCAGATGGTGTTTTATTACCTGCCAAGTGGTTGAAAGAATCTGTATCTATCATTAACGAACTTCTTTTATCTATTCACAATAAAATTTATTTGATAACAAAAGATACTATAATTATGCCAAATGATTATTGTGTGATATTTAAAAAACAGAGGGAAGCAGTAGCTGGTACTCAACTAGCCGATGTACAAGATTTTATCAAATTTAAATCTGAATGTACAAAGTTAGCTGCAAAAAACAATAGCAATTTATGTTATAGTTACACCCAATAAACAAAAAAGAGGGTATGTATATATATATATAGTTAGGGCTTACATATATACATATGTATATGAAATTCTGGTTTTAGCTACTAATACGAGAATGCTGTGATTCTCCAATTGTCATTATATACATGTTACCATTTAAGGTTTTAGAAAAAATATCAAATTAATTTATTGTAAACTTATAATAAATTTATAGGATCTAGATTCAAATGAAGATGATAATGCTAGTAGACCACCTGATTACAAAAACAATAATCGGATTCCAAGTATTTCATCTTTATCTTCATACAATAAAGAGATTGCAGAAAATATATTACAAATTAGAGAAGCACATCATTGTAATATACATAATCGGCCTTGTTTAAACAAGGAGAAACATAGTGACTTACATGTTGAAATAAATTTTATGATGCTTTCTGTATGGGCATCAGATATGGTAATACAGTAAATTATTTATATAACAATTTTTAATAATTATGATTTGTATATACTTTAATTATATATACATTTTTTTAGAGAAAGGGACTAGCTACAATCGAAAATCCTCCAATCTATCTTATTTTTTCCCATGATCATATATCTTCTAAAAAATTACGCACCTCAATCTTATAACCACAACTGGTTACTTCACTACAAGCACAAACACAATCACTACTGTTGCCAGTACATATACAACAGCCGCCACAAATACAATTGTCACAATCATCACAAGTACAACAACAACCACAATTAATGTTTTCTCCACATCTATTACTACAAGTATCGTCATTAGTTTTGCCATCATCATTGTCACTGCAACACAGTTGGGCTTTTGGATCGCAAATGTTTTAACCACACCAACCATTATTATCAATTTTATATAATCTGTACCAAACATTATTTAACTTTTCTATGCAACCTCAACCTATTCAGTCTAATTCAAATATCACTTCTACTTTGTTTACAATGTCAGAATTTCTTAAGGAATTAGATGAAAAGGAAGAAACCGGACATTACTACCAAAATTTTTTAGAAGAATTTGAAACACAACAAATCTTAGTAAGATATTTAAGAAGATTGACAGATGAGCAATTTGATAAATGTGAAGTAAAGACTATTAGTGCACAGCAAACATTGCGAGAATATGCAGAAAAATTACAGTAAATGGTTTCTAATTTTTGCAATAAGTAAGAAAAAATTAAAATTAATATTTTGATTAAGGGAACCGACATTTACAATATTGCGTAAATATAATCCCTCCAAAGTCAGCCATTTGACAATAACAAGTTCTAAAGTAATCATAGTATAAACTTATATTATTGGTTATTTTAGAGCTTGCAATCATCAAACGATTGATTATTTTAAAACTTGTAATTGTGGCAAATGACAGGTTATATTTACATAATAAGTATCAGATCTCTTATATTGGCTTTCATTTTTCACTCACATAATATTTATTGAAACTTATATAGCAAAAAATATATTTCAAGCTGATTGTATAATGCATATATTATAGGTTATAATTTTGTAATAGCAATAAATAAATTATCATGTAGAATTTTGCTTAAAAAATCTATTTAGCTATAAAAAATTATGTAGCAAAAATATGAAAAATGTTGCGAATATTAAAATAAATAAATAAAATTAGCTGATACAATAAAAGTTCATGAACTTATTTTGCAATAGTTGAATTTTGAATTCAAATTCGAAAGATATTATATGCATATATATAGACCATAATTTTGATTATAGTGAATTGCAATTGATTGATTACCTACATGACTAAGAATAGGTTCTTTCATATTTTTATTTTTTAAAAAATAAATAAGACTATTAGGTGTTCTTGCTTTTGTAATAATTTCCAAATTTCTAACAATTATTTTATTTGAATTTTCAATTTTTAAAGCAACTACTATGCCGGATAAGGATAGGAATCAGTCAAAAATTTTTAGTCGATTAGTCAGTTAACTAAAACAGTAATTGACTAATTGACTAATTGACTAATTGACTAATCGACTAATCAACTAATCGACTAATCGACTAATCAACTAATCGACTAATCAACTAATTAACTAATCAACTAATCGACTAATTGACTAATCGACTAGTTGACTAATTGATTAATCAATCGACTGACTATGAAAAAATTTAGTCGATTAGTCGACTAATAGTCGATTAATCGACTAATGACTATATGATTCTTATCCTTAATGCTAGGTATATTATTATATAATTTATAAAATATTTTAACATCGAATCTGTCCCTACTACTTTTAAATAATAATTTAAACTTGTATAATATCATAGATTGTTGAATATTTATAAACCCAGAAAGAAACTGCTGCAGCATGCTTTAAAGTAATTGTGGAAGAAGATATATATTGAATTTCAAGGAGGATGTTTAGTTGACAATATTTGGCGGAAAGGTAAACGGTTGGAGATACGTATTTTTGCATAATATCATTCCTACAAATTCTTTTTAAGAATTTTTCTATAAGGTTGTAATTTTCTAAAACTTCATTGCCAAAAATTCAAAAATATCTAACAATTTTAATGAATAATTTTTAAAAATTTGAAATTCTTCTTATTTTGTTGCTTATAATTATTCTAATCCAAAACATTATGTTTTATATCTTGATGCTTCGAAAAAATTTTTTGCTATATTCAGAGTAATTTGAGTACATGCAACTAATAACGGGTATTTAGGATTATATGAACTTTCAACAAAATAATGATATCATTGTAAATAACTTTTCATTGAAGAAAAAGCTAATTTGATTGGGTTGAGATTAGGTGAGTATAAGAGGAGAAACTTAATATGCACACTAAATGCATCTAAATATTCACACAATTTTGCATTATGATGTATATGTGCATTATCAATAATAAGCACACTTTTGGGATGTGGGTATAAGTTCATCTGCGGTAGCTATATTGGAATTGCAAAAAATTTTAGTATCTACAAATATACAAATATAGAGAGATTTACAAGTTAGTAATGTATATACAGTATGTATACAACTTACAACTTGATTTATAACGAATTCCTTAAACTTAAGTTTTGTATAATTGCCTTCTACAATGTTAATGGCAATTATTCCTTGTAGAGCTAAGGCTGGGCAAATTGTATATCTTATCCCACATATGAATATTACCTTTTTTCTCGCCCGGGTGTTTATTCCTGAATATCTATAACTTCTTGATATAGTGCACTGATTTTTAGCAGATTCATCCAAAAATATTAATTGTTCAGGACAGTACTGTGCACCAACACGTGCCAAAAAAGCACACCATACAAGCTCATTTCATTCTCTTGCCTCTTTTTGAAGCTAGTTAAGAAATATTTATATTATATAAATGTTAAAATTTAAATAATTTTTTTTTTAAAAACCAACTCAACTTTCTTTCATGTAATGCCACAATATGCCAAAAACCTTCATAATGTAGAAATTGACACTGACTTTCCTGTATGTTGCTCCATTTTACTAATTCATCTAAATACCAATCGACTTTCTCTCGAACTATTTGTTGTAAAACCTAAATTTATAAAAATTATTAAAATAAATAAATATAAAATTAAGTTATATACACATGCATTCATATCATTTCTATCAAAAGCCTTTCTTTGTCCAGGAATTTGATGCTATGGATGAATAACTGTGCCCCATTTTCTATAAATTCTCAAAACTTTCTTAACGAGTGATTTACTTATATATAATGTAGAAGAAATTTCCTCTTTGGAATAACCATCATAATACAAGTAAGCTATACACCACTTAAAATTTGCACTATAAGCATGTGACATCTAAAAAATATAATATTTTTTATGAAATTTTTATACATAGTAAATTCACAAAACAAAAAGCTGGGAATTTTTATAATTACTTGGCTAACCAACTAAAAAAAATCAATAAACTAGTAGATGTTATATTAAAGAATCTAAATGCAACAAGAAATCTTTGGAATTCTTTATTTTTAAGTAGCAATTTGTAAAAAATAAGAATTTAAAGAAATTTTGCTAATTTCTGTGTGATGCATGAAAATCACGGGACACAGTAATTTGAAAAGAGCAGTAATTGACCTCTGCCAATTACAACGTTACGAAATTTTCCCGATCATCATTACAAAAATCATGTGGCCACGTCTTTTGCAAAGCGCCTACCAATAGCAATCAATTAACATATATAGTATATATTTGGTTATTGGCAACCTACCAGCTACATATGCGTCAGTTCATGTACGCACGTACTAGTTTTTTTGGGATTAACAATATCTGGTTTAGCGTGACTGCATCGCGCAATAACTCAATAACTCATTAACATAATCGTAATCAGATCATTATACCCGTTACGATCATTACACCCACTACTAGTGTTTTGACCCGGGTGGGTATCGCCCGGGTCACCCGCGGGTGGGTTGGATCATTACAACCCGGGTGGGTCAACCCACGAGTGACCCGTTAGTTGACCTGCAGGTTGACCAACAGAATAAAAAATCACTAAATGCACATACCGCATATATCATCTGGCTTCAAATTTAAATATCCATGTTTTTTTGAATGTGTACTCGCGTATAGAAGATAAGCAATTTTAGAAATGACGTCTAAGTTTTGAATTAATAAGCTCTAAAATTTTTTCTTTAAAAGTATTTTATTTTTTAATGTTTATATTACCAGATGTTTCAAAATTAATAAAAACAATTGTAATCATATAACTTATATAGTTGAATGGCGCGATTAATTTCCTGCATAATTTTTCGTGGTTCCAATCCCTAGTCTAATTTATGAGCCCGCATAGTTCGTTTAAGATTTGCAATATGCATAACTTTGTAATGACCAGATTGTAATTCTGAACACGGGTAGTTTTTTAAACTAATACTAACCCTACGGGTAACCCGACAGGTGACCTGTCGGGTGACCCGTTGGGTGATGTTTTGAAATTGACCCGAATTTCACCCGGGTGATACATTACCCACCCGTCGGGTGACCCGGGTGAAGATTTTTTAAACGGGTCAAATTCGGTCAATTCACTACCCACTACAACCATTACAACCATTACAATCATTACACCTCTTATGACAAAAAATTACGCAATCTTCCAACTATAGTAAATCTAATACGGCAGGGCAACCTTAATAGACACCCTATCATCATTCTGCTGCAATTCAGTAATTTTGTTCCATTTTTCTCGGAAACAGTATAACTCTCATAGGACTGCTTTCATATGACTGGCCGTTTAAGTCTACTTAACTTTAAATAGTTTAAAGTACTGTACTGTAACTACAAGGAATAATGAAAAAAATAATATATTAATAGTATATTAATAGTATATGGAAGGTATTATCAGGGTTGTAGGACTCCACTATGGAAAATAATCAAAATATCTTTTTGTTTTAAAGAAGTTAGCATGGTAATGACTTAGTTCAATCTGTTTTAAGTTGTTAAGCTAACTTCTCAACAACAAAAAGGGATTTTGATCATTTTCAATAGTGGAGTAGAACCCCGAATAATACTAATAGAGGCACGAGTTGAGTTAATAGATATTTTGTCCACTTTTTTGGCCCAACCTTTTTCTAAATTCTGGTCAAAATTAAATCAAATTTTAATTTTGACCGGTTTTAATAATATTACCTTTTTTAGAATTATCTGGAGTCCTACAACCTTAATAAAACTTTCTATATACTCTTTATTAAAAAAAGTACTTTAAACTGTATAAATAATGTAAAAATTAAATAAACTTAAACAGCCAATCATATGAAAGTCGTCCTACGAGGAGAAATTATCGATTCAGTTATTTTGACAATGAGAGTTTTTCCAAATCGAGGCATGTAAAACTGGTGAAGGTTTGCATTCACCAACTTGATTTACTGGATAACCAGCTCAAATACATTGTTAAGGTGCTAATGTACGGATGACTTGATCTTTTTGTTTATTGTGATTCAAAGCCCTAAGAGGAAAAGGCTAAAAATAAAATACGAAATCAGTATGGTATGGGGGTTGAAAATGACTTCATACCTCTTATGCGATAAATATCAAGCTCTGGGATCATTGGACTCATCATGAGCAGGGAGTCGATCAGGGCGGACATGAAATTTTATGGGAATTATGGGACACGTGAAAAGCGCCATTTCTGCGGTTGCATGTGCACTCTAATAGGGCAACTTAA